GGGGCGCAAACCCCCCCCCCCCCCCCATGGAGATCACAAGTTACGAACTCTGTCGCGGGCCTGTGACGTTTATGTAAACTATGCTCGCACATCGTCTTCTCGGGGCATTAAAACGTCACTGTGGGATTGGTGGAGCAGAAATCAAATGTCCCCACTCTACTGATGAGTAAATGTCCCCAGGGACATAAGTCTTTCTGAAAAAATGTACTTAAACGTGATGAAAAGGGGGCAGGTAAACAGGAAAGTACACGCACGCTGACGGCTCCCGTGTCTCTCTGACCGAGAATGATCTGTGCCGATGGGACCATGTGTGGCCCGTGTGTGGAATAAGCCAGAAGCGCCAGGGAGTTAACGCTTCAGAACAGTGAGGGCTGAGAGTTTGTGTTCACCTGCGTCAGCTTCCTCGTCCCTTGGCGAGGTGATGCTGAGGTATGTTCTACAAACCTAGTAGATTGTTGGATTGTGCCGCAGTTACCCGTAGTAGTAACCCGCTCATTAGTGTACCCATTGTGGGCTTTACTCCCTTCCCTATCATACCTCCCTACTCCCTCCCTCAGCTTTCTGGGGTCCCCCCACTTGGAACCTCACTAATTTTCCAAGGTCCAGCTAAATATCACTACCTCTATAAAATCTGCCCTGATCTCCTCAAAAGAAGTAAATCTCTCTCCCCAATGCTCCTTTCTCTTTTTTTTTTAAATAATTTTTTTGAGAGAGGGAGAGCAGGGGAGGGGAGGGGTGGGGGGGAATCGGAAGTGGGCTCCGTGCCGACAGCAGGAGCCTGAAGCAGAGCTCGAACCCATGAACCATGAGATTATGACCTGAGCTGAAGTGGACGCTTAACCGACTGAGCCACCCAGGCGCCCTGCTCCTTTTTCTCTTTGTCCATATCTCTTTATACTTGTCACCTTATATGACGGCATTAGGTACTTCCTTTGCCGAATGCACTTTAATGCATCACGAGTCCTTTTAGTGCACCGTCCCCGGGCCGCGTGAGAAGGGAGAAGAAGGGTTTGATGAGGCGGGTGGGAGACTGATGGGAAGCAACCTAATGAGGACTGGGGGCTTGCCCTGGGCCAGGCCCTGCTGGGTGCTTTATGTACGTCATCTCATTTAATCCTCACAAAAACGCATCACGATAGATAGGTTTAGTCTCAGTTTGCAGATGAAGAAATGGAGTATCAAAGAGATTAAGTCATTTGCACAGAGCCTGAGAGCTTGGGGGATTCCCTGTTGGAACCCATAGCCTATACTGTTCACACTCCACCAGGCTGCCTCGTAAGTGCCTGGAGACCAAATGCACGTGTCGGTGAGGCACGGGGAGACGCTGGAGAGGGAGGGGGTCTGGGATAAGCTGCCAGAGAGCAGCCATTATCCTGGGCTCTGGGGGCTCTGGATTGCAAACACAGTAGCTTCGCCCTGGAAGCCTGAGAGTGACTCAGTAGCTCTTAATTAACAGTAGGAGAGGTTGGTCTGACAGTCTTTTATTAGGCCACTCGCCAACAGAGAGAATCCTTAGACCTTAGCGCTTTCAGTTGTATAATTTGGTAACGTGTGAGGGAATCATTCTTGGTCTACCAGAATCCCAGATGAGCTTTGGTAGGTAACTATACTTTCTAGCCTCTAGCTTTCCTGGGCTATGCCATGCCTTTTTCTTTTTTCTTTCTCTCTCTCTCTCTCTCTCTCTCTCTCTCTTTTTTTTTTTTTTTTTTGTCTTTGAAGGAGGTCTTCTTTTAGGTACAACTATTTTCCAGAGGGTGAAATGACATAATAATGGAAGATGGTTATAATCTCATTCTTGCAGGGTTGTCTTCCCCATTTGGAAACAATTACACATTTGAGCCAGTTTAGTGAGCTCATGAGCTATAATCCCCAACTTTCTCTCTCTGGTCTGGGCCTAGATCTTTCTGTGCTGCAGGCATTTCCAGTGGTAGATTCCTCTCTAATTCCCCTCTTCCAAGGCCTCACTGTCTTATTTCCTCTTACCTTCTCATGCTTTGTCCATCCAAGTCTTTGTTCTTCCTTGTGCAGTGCACGTTAAAGCTGTAGGAGCGTAGACTGTAATGCTCTTGAAAGGCAGGGAACCTGTCTTGTTTGACTTTG